TCTCTTGGCCGAATGTGCGCAGTTCGGTTTGGAGGAGTTGCCATGATCTCAAGATTTTGGATTAGGCAGATCGATCCAACATCTTTTGAGGCGTGTCGCATGTAGGTGAAGGATACGGTGGCTGTTTCGACTACGCAAGTTGAGATATGACACACCGTATCAACGACATGACCGGCTTCCAGATGCAGGTACGCTTTGCTAGACCAACGGCACCGTCAGCTAGGCCATGCGTTGTCATGATCGGACCCTCGTTTTCGGGCATTTGACATGAAGAAAAATTTGTACACGGGAGCCGCGACGGGCGCTTGCAAAGTAGTGCTACCAAGAAACGAGGTAGAGCTGGCACCGAACCGTCTGTCAATGAGGGTCGTACGCATGGTCGAGGCCCACGGGCTGCGTGTTGTGAAGGTCAGACCAAGCATTAGCGGGGTGACCCGCTCAGGCATTAGCGACCCTCGCTGATTGGCTCAGGACGATCTTAGCTGCAATCATCCCTCAGGGTGCAGTTGCCCGATACACAAAGACATCCCACACCCCGCCAAACTTCAGCTGGTACTCGTGCATGAAGTCTGCACGATGCAAAGCTGACCTCTGACGACGGCGGCTGATAATCGCTCGTCACCACTGTGACCGCTCACACTGCACTCTTTCGAATGTATTGTGTGCTTCCCCAACGAGCTGAGGACTAAATCCTGCTTTTAGCCATTACTCCTGGCAAGTCTTCACGGGATGCGCGATTTACGAGCCCGCGACATTGCATTAAGGGCGTTGCGGCGCCGAAAAGCAAGCGCTGCAAGTCACATCCCCGCGCGCCGACGCTCAAGAAAATCCCGCAGTGCTGCGCCATCTTGCCTAAACAATGAAGCAGCTAACTGCACGTGGGCATTCCGTTCTCACGATAAGCACCAAGGCTAAGAGCCAACCAAAGCTTTTCGTCAGCGGTAGAGCTTGTTACCAGATGAGATTGTCAGTCGGCCACAGTTACGGCCAGATAACGGGACAGTATAAGTCCTGTGAGACTGCTTTACTGTCTTTGCGTACAACACCGACAGCCTGGTATGGATACCTCAATACACTTTGCAGATGCAGACCTGCATCCGGTTCGGTCGTCGCAGTCCGTGGGCGGAGTTTATCCTATGCGCTCACGCACCAAGTCGCACGCGAATCGGACTTCGGTGGATGCGAAGATCAGCGAACTGGAAGACGCGGAAGACGAAGATGCAGGTCTGCGCGATGAGCGCGATTTTAAGCGCAGTCAGGTAAGGAGGCACATGGCGCGGTGTGATCCAGCTCACTGACGCGACGCAGGTTTTCAGTCTGACACAGATCCTCGTCCTTGCATACCAATCTACCGGTGTGATCTATGGCGACATTGGAACATCACCGCTCTATGTTTACTCTTCGACGTTCACAGAGCCTCCCAGTCGGATCAATCTGCTCGGTGCTCTTTCGCTCATACTATGGTCTGTTACGTTGATGGTCACCGTCAAGTACGTCTTGATCATCCTCCGCGCCGACAATGATGGAGAAGGCGGAACGTTCAGCACATACTCTCTTCTTTCCAAATATGTACGTCAAACAACCTGCGTGAGATGCTCAGTCACTGATGTATACAGGCAAATATCGCGAACAGAGATCCACGCGAAGCAACTCTAATACGTGAGTGTGCAACCTGCTCTAGGTCTCCCTATACTGACTATCATGCAGGGATGGAGAGACACAATACCGATACTCTTGGCCGATCCACAAGGAACATTCGCTCAACCATCGAAAAGTCCAAGTTCTTTCGCGGTCTACTGCAGGTCATCGGTGTACTAGCCGTGTCCATGGTCATGGCCGATGGTGTTCTAACCCCTGCTCAATCCGTCTTGGGTGCCGTCCAAGGTCTCAACGTTGTGAAGCCTGATATCGAGAAGTCCACCATCATCGGTGTCACATGCGCCATTCTGGTTCTGCTGTTCGTCGTGCAGCCGCTTGGTGTTACGAAATTAACGTTTGTCTTCTCGCCCATCGTCATTGTGTGGCTGGCCTTGAACGCTGGGTTTGGAGTATACAACCTTGCCAAGTATGTGTTCTTGTTACTTCCGAAGTACTCTTGACTGACGCCTACAGCTATGACTACGCGATCCTAAAAGCTTTCAACCCTTTCTACGCATTCGACTACCTGATACGGAACAAATACGAAGGCTGGCGCAGTCTCGGCGGTATACTCCTGGCCTTTACAGGCGTCGAAGCTCTATTCGCAGACATCGGTGCCTTCAGTCGCCGTGCCGTACAGATCAGTTGGCTCGGATACGCCTACCCGTGTTTACTGCTTGCCTACAGTGGCCAAGCTGCCTACATCAGTGTGCACCCGGAGGCATACTCCAACCCCTTCTACAACTGCGCCCCACCAGGATGGCTCATCTTCTCGCTCATCGTAGCCATCGCAGCTGCCATCGTCGCGTCTCAGGCCATGATCACGGCGACGTTCCAGCTCCTGACTCAAATCATGAAGCTCTCATACTTCCCACAGATTAAGGTCGTTCACACTTCGACAACATACCATGGACAGCTGTATATTCCCAGCATCAACTGGCTACTGATGATTGGAACTGTACTTGTTGCTGCAATCTACAACAACACAACCTCTTTGGGTAACGCCTACGGTGTGTGCGTCATGTTCGTCACATTCTTCGACACATGCATGGTTACACTCGTCGCGATCTTGGTGTGGCGCATCAAGCCATACTTTGTGCTCCTTCCTTGGCTCACCATCGCTTGTTTGGATGGTGCCTACCTGTCATCGGCACTCACTAAAGTACCAGACGGCGCCTGGTTCACTATCCTACTTGCCTGTCTTCTCGGCTCCATATTCATCCTTTGGCGATTCGGTAAAGAGCAGCAATGGGGCGCGGAAGCTAGCGATCGTTTCCCAACGACGCACTTCGTAAAGACCCTGCCAGACGGCCGCCTAGAGCTGACCGAGCAGTATGGCAGCAAATTTGTTGGAACCATGGAAGGTTTCGGCATCTTCTTCGACAAAGCCGGCGAGACAACTCCTATAGTCTTCAGTCAGTTCATCCGCAAACTAGTCACCATCCCCGAGGTCATCGTCTTCTTCCATCTTCGACCGCTAGAAGTACCTTTCGTCGCCCCAGAGAACCGCTACAGTGTTTCGCGGCTCGCCGTCCCGAACTGCTACCGCCTAGTAGTCCGTCATGGCTACATGGACGAAGTCATCACCCCAGACCTAGCATCCTTGATCTACGAGAAAGTCCGCAACCATATCGTCGCACGGGCCCTGAAACGCGACGGTGAGATATCAGTCAAGGCTACCGGCGCTCAGCCGGAAAAGACCATGGTTACCGAGACTGTTGCTGGGAGTGGCATATCGACTCCAACGCGTAGCTCAACTACTTCTGCACGTCTAGAAGCACTTGAGCGTGCGTACAACCGTGAGGTATTGTACATTATTGGTAAGGAGCAGATGAAGGTCAAGGTTGGTACGAACATCATCCGCCGGTTCTTCTTGAAGGCTTTCTTGTTCATTCGGGATAACTCAAGAGCGAAGATTGCGAGTTTGGATGTTCCTATGGATAAGGTTATTGAGGTTGGGTTTGTGAAGGATGTGTAATCGAGGAAGTGTGCATCCGTAATCTAGTCTTCTGGGCGATAATCGTTCGCATTGTGTCGATGGTTTTCGCAAAATTTTGAGTTGTGGCATGTCGATACCTCGGTACCTTTATGTGCCGTCGCTATTACTAAGTGTCGATGCCAATGCGTCGCCATGACGTGCCTTCCTAGTCATTGCTTGGACCCTTCTGACGTTTGCTGACTAGCCACACCTCCACGCCTCACCCTCCAACATCTCCAATTCTCCTGCAAATCTCCTAAACCCCCAAATCACCCAATTGGCGATCATGAACAAGTTACCCGACGATAGTACCACCTGGCGTGTACGTTGCCAAGGCGGCAAGACCGTTGGATAGCTCGTCACCCCCTCGCGGCCTCAACCGCGCTCCTCAGCCTGTACCTCTTCGCGTCCTGAGCACGCACGCCATCTAGATTGCCGCCATAACGACATAAGATCAACATTCGTCTCCCCTGAGATGGGGTACAATACACATGGCTATACCAGGTCCGGCTTTAATTGCGCCGCACGTCGTGCCGTGGCGCGCATTCCCGGTGTGTCAGGCAAATCAGCGAGCCAGATGAGACGCGATAAAGGTTTTTTGCTTCGTGTCGATGCGTGAACGCTGTTTCGGGCATCGTGTAGGGTGGAGGTTTGATCTTCGCGCAGTTGGATCTAAGATGCATCTCCTTTGTTTCTGCTTTGTGGAGTTGCTCGTTCATCCTTCTCCTCCAGCAGTAGCTCCGACCCTACAGCTCCAGTATGGTGCTCAGCCTCTTCGAGTGGGCGTATATTGTCGCCTACTTCACGTTCGTAATTGGCTTGCTGTCCTCGGTCGCCCGATTCTACTCTCGCGCATTGGTCTTGAGATCATGGGGTTGGGATGATACAGCTTCGTGTCTTGTGCTGGTAAAATATGACCAGCTTTGCGATGTCTTCACCGTTGCTTATTCTCTCAGGTCGTCAGTATTGTTCATCAAGTTGTTCTGCAGCTGTTCCTGAACCTGGGCTGTGGCAAGTAAGTTCGGGGGTGATCTGCTGAAATTGTGCGAAGACTTACTATCAACTCCAACAGACCGGGCAATATAGACTGCAGTTTCCAATCCCTCGATCTTCTTCGGGTAAGCTCTCCATCAGCGTTCTCGTGAGAGATAGAAGGACTAAGGAAGCACGCAGATATCATTCATCGAAGAGATCGTGATCTATGGCGCACATTCCGTCATCAAGATGACCTTTCTCTTGTTCTATCTCCGGCTTTCTGTTGGTCAAACGTTCCGCGGCTTCGTATATATTGGATTCGCACTGGCGTTTTCGATTTTCCTCTCTAGCTTGTAAGTTGACTGGTATCCGCAGTTCATATGGCCGCAGACTGACGACATCTAGGCTCATGACAGTCCTACAATGTATACCGTTTGAGAAGATTCTCAACCCCATGTTGCATCCAGAGGTTAAATGCATCGATATGCGTATCATGATGCTCACTCCACCTATCCTTGTACGTATTGGCTACCTACACTCAGCCACCACACTTTGCGCGCATACTGACACGTGTCGCTTTTAGAACATCTTCATGGACCTCTACATCATCTGTCTCCCGATACCCTCCGTTTTGACCCTCCAAATGAATCTACGCCGCAAAGTCACCGTCGTCTCCGTCCTCGCCTTCGGCATTATCTCCGTCACAGTCGCAATCATCCGCCTACCCATCCTCATATCGGTATCCTCGATGAAGACAGATCTATCAATAGACGCTGGAAAGATGATAATTGTGGCATCGTTCGAGGTCCAATGTGCGATCGTTGCGGCGAATTTGCCAGCAATGAAAGCACTTTGGGGTAAGGTTAGAGGCAAATACAGCTCTGCGGGCAGTTATGAGCGATCGAACGAAAAGCCATACCATCTCTCGTCGATGCGCCGAGGACTCCGAAATAAGCGCGCTTCCATGGGAACTATAACGAGGCTAGAGCAGGGGCTGACTGGCAACGAGTCGCAAGTAGAGCTTGTGGAAGGGATACACAAACAACCAGGTCCACCGATTTTCGGATTTGGTGAGTCGCATTCTAACTCTGTAAAGTCTTCTCGGCAGAACTCAATTATTGTGACGACTGAACTGGACGTGCGACATACACCGAGATTATAGCGGCTTGAAGACATACGTCCGAAGGCTTGCGTTAGAGCCGGTTTGAGACTTAGTATAGATAGCTCGGCGTAGCGCTTCACTCCTGTATTGAGTTACTCAGTATTGTAGTGTACCTAGCCGCGTATCAATGGGAAAACTTTAGGTTCCCATCCTCACCCCGCTAACGGTCCGTAATCTATGCCATCTCGAACTACATGTCGCTAAAAGCCCGATTGGGTCAAAGCCGCATCCCGCTATTCCAAAAGTATGCAAGTCTCGGATCCTTCCATCCCACTCATGTGCCACGCCGCATATCCTCCCACTATACAGAGACATCAGTTGTTTAGACCGAATCAACATGGACTGGCTTTTAGTCACTTCAGTTGCAGGCATCAGTCTCTTGACTCTACTTACATGGCGCCGGTACTTCTCCGCAATCAGCGATATACCAGGACCTTTTGCTGCTTCTTTTACTCGTCTTTGGCATATGCATCGGATCCTGAAAGGCGATCAAAACCTTGAACTCATTCGCTTACATGAACAACATGGTAGGTGTACAAGATACGCAGAAGCGCTGCTTATCGATAGTTCGCTCATAGTCCTTCTAGGTCACTTCGTTCGTATATCATACGACGAAGTCAGTGTTAGCCATCCAGACGCCATTGCGAAGATCCTCGTAGCTCCTCTCCATAAGGTAACAATTGGAAAGCACTTCTGACCCATTAGATGACTAACACGAGAACAAGGCAAACTGGTACAAAATCCACGCCTTACCAGACTATCGCTTCCAATCACCCATGAGCACCACCGACCCCAAGAAGAAAATCGAGAAATCAAAATACATAGCCGCGGCATATACCGTCTCCAACCTCCTCCGATCCGAAGAGCACATCGATCGCACCTTTGAATCCTTCCTCGGCTGGATGGACGAATACGCCACCGCGGAGAAACCAATGCATCTCAACACCTGCATCTCCTACCTAACCTTCGACGTAATCGGCGAAATCGTCTTCTCCAAACCCTTCGGTTTCCTCGCCCAAGGCAAAGACATCGGTAACTCAATCTCAAACTCCCTCGCTCTGAATGCGTATATCGCTGTAGCAGGTTACTTCCGCTGGCTCAACATCGCCCTGTTGGCCAACCCGATTATGACATGGCTGTCCATCTTACCAATGGGCCATCTCTTCGACACTGTCAAGTCAGTATTAGCCGATCGAGAGAAGAATGAGAATGTGAGGTATGATGCAGTGCAGTACTGGTTTAAGCAGCATGAAAAGCATCCGGATAAGTTTACCGTTCGGGAGATTGGTACGCAGGCGCTTGCGGCTGTGGGGGCGGGGTCGGATACTGTTGCGGCGGGGATGCAGGCGTTTGTTTATTATATGATTAGGCATGAGGATGCGTGGGAGCGCGCGCATGAGGAGGTCAACAAAGCAGTAGAGAAGGGGTTGTGTGGGGGTCGGGTGGTGTCTTATGCTGATGCGCAGCAACTTAGGTGAGGGGACGATTTCTTTGCATCAGCTTGGAAGAATATGCAGGACTGACATTTAGTAGTTTTGTGCAAGCCTGTGTGAAGGAAGCGCTTCGCATCTTTGGTCCCGTGCCCATGGGTCTTCCGCGCATAGCGCCCAAAGGAGGATTGGTAATTGGAGATCGCATCATACCTGAGGGTACTATTGTGTCAATCAACCGTGAGTCACTACTCCCCATAGATGTTGTCTGGGGGCTCAGCTGATCTTGCCATCTTCAAATACAGCATGGGTGATGCACTACTAAAAAGAGATATGGGGTGCTGATGCGCACGTCTTCAACCCAGATCGCTGGTTAGCAGGGGATATCGCTGCGAAGGAGAGGTACTTTATACCTGTAAGTGACCTCTGTCCCCATACTGATTGCACAAGAGCATCTTTGTGTACATGCTGACTGATCTCTGTAGTTTGGAGCAGGTTATGGCGGCTGTCCAGGCCAAAACATCGCTAAGATTGAACTCGCGAAGATCGCAGCAACGTTAGTCAGGGACTACACAATCAAGCAAGTAGATCCAACACAAGACTGGCAGTGGAACGCCTACTTCACAGTCGTTCCACACTCATGGCCCGTATCCATCGAGAAGAGGGTATAACATTTCGGGTATATAACATGTCATAATAATGAAAGCCACTCGCTCCAACCTAAAACTCCAGTACCAGACCCAGACATAAGAAAAGGCGTCAAAGCCAACGATCCATACTCCCAAACGGCGGATACTTCAACCCACTCGGTTTCCTCCTCCTCATCCACCTCCCACCCCCACTCGCACTACTCCCTACAGTACTACTCACGCAATCCCAATCCCACGGCATGCTCTTACTCAAGGCTTCGTAACCGGCTACTCTGCGTAAGGTTCCTCGGGTCCGCTCTTGTTGGACGCTGCGGAGGGCTGTGCGGGTGTTCTCCCGGACTGTGGTTGTTGATACCCTAGGCTCGACGATTTGGGTGTGATAGGTGGGTTCGCGGGGGCGGGATGGTGGTGGGCAACGTGATGGTTCGCGGGTTGGAGGTGGAGGACAGGGGGATGAGATGCTGCGTTTCCTCCCCGAGCCGCGGAGGTGGCCTTCTTTGATGTCGACTATGCCGAGTCCGTGATGGTGGTGGCTGTGACCATGAATCGGATGCATGAGTAGTGGATGTAGATGAGGGTGTCTGTGGTGGTGGTTCAGGTGCGCGTCGAAGTGCACGTGATCTTGACCACCCCCTTCCTCCACCTCGAGGCTCATACTCGGTACTCTGACGCGGACGTCGCTGAAACGCGGCGACGCTGGACTACGGCGAACGCGAACGAGTTCCTCCGCACATGAAGAGTCGGTAGAAGGGCGCTGTTGCTTTTTGCCTTTGGCTGGTGTGAGGGTGAACCAGCACATTTCTGGTGCGCGGCGAGGAGAGATCAACGCCGGAATCGATGCGCGCGGGCAAGGGGTGGAGTCGTGTGGGAGGGGCAATACGATGGTAAGCAGAGTGTGAAAAAGATGGGGTGTAAGTTGAAGGTGGTCGCGAAGGTTGATAGTACGAATAAGGTGTAGTGTCGTAACGGGGCATTCAGAAGACTTGAAAGAAGAGCAGACAATGGGGTGAAGGCGGTACTTTATCCTATGACTGACACACAATGTACATATGATCAGATCCTTCCGCACTTCTTCTCTTGATGGCGGCCACCTATGTATATACTGTTGCCCTCGACGATCATTTGCTACCATCACGCACGCTGCGCCGGACCTGCACGCGGGCCGCACGTATGCTTATACGTGAGAGGACAAATGAGACAGAGTGAGTGAGAACGGTGCCTGCATGATTGTTGCTGGTGCCTGCATATAGGCAATGCAAACATGTGTTCAAGTCCGCTGGGCGAGTGACTGAGGCTGACATGGGTGCGAGATGCGCGCGTGGGTCAGCGCCATGTCTTGCCTGACCTCAAGTCTCAAGGGGCGGCATGTGACGTTTGAGTCCCAACGCCCGTTCCTGACTTGCGCGATGCGGGAACTTGTAGTACCTGATGACGTACGTAGATATAGATCAAGGTCGTGCAATAGTCCTTCCGATGGCATTTCCCTCTTTTGCGATGGGTCTGCGCCACGCTGGTTTGTCGCTGTGTGTAACGGCATGACTGCAGATACCTCTACACTCTTTGCGCATGCGCATGTCTATAAACAAGATCGCATTCCTTCTCTTTGGTTAAATGGAGTAGATGCTATTGCGATGAATGGCGATGACGGACGCCATGCGCGCGGTACTGAGCATCGCTGCTCGTATGAGTGGCGATCACTGGGAGGTCAGTAGTAGAGAGGAAGACGTGGGCATGGCAAGGAACAAAGCAAGCGATAGGGCTCATCGCCCATAGCAGAGTCTACGCGCAAAGAAAGCTCGAAAGTGCGCAGGTTGTAGTGTAGGTCATCGGCGCTGATCCGCCGGACTGGTGAAGGCAACAGCTAGACGCGGCTATGTCTTGGCATTACCGACAACGCCGGAGCTTCGAGCTCACATCACCACGTCAAACAATCAAACAACCCCACCCCAGCCACTCGATCACGTTTCCGATACCCTCTGGATCCCGCCAATACACACCGTCGCAACCATGGATTCATTAGTATCGCAGTACAGCCAGCCGGCGTATACAGAGGAAGGCCCGTCCGAGGAGGAGCAGTTGCAGCTCTACAGCGGCACCCCAGAGCTGTCTCTCAAGTTTGCCCTACCACCAGTAGCTCAGGTGCGCTCACCCTCTATCATACCTTATGAAGGGCGGAATATACTAATACCGTCATAGTCAGCATCATGGCTCCGCGCAATGACGGACGACTACTCCAACCCAAACTGCCCCATCAAGATCGCCCACGGAACCACAACCCTCGCCTTCCGCTTCAAGGGCGGCATCATCGTAGCCACCGACTCGCGTGCGACGGCTGGAAACTGGATAGCCAGTCAGACGGTCAAGAAGGTCATTGAGATCAACAACTGCTTGTTGGGAACTATGGCTGGTGGCGCTGCTGTACGTACAGGACAACCACACGGAGGAGTTCGAAGAGAAGTGGAGTATTGACATGCGATAGGACTGCCAATACTGGCTCGCATACCTCGGAATGCAATGTCGCCTCCACGAGCTTCGCCACAAGCGCCGTATCTCCGTCGCCGCAGCCTCCAAGATCCTCGCCAACCTTGTCTACTCATACAAGGGCATGGGTCTGAGTATGGTACGTTTTCCCCCCTTACAGCCAATCTCTCTCCCTCCCCATCTAACACACGCTCCAGGGAACAATGTGCGCAGGCGTAACCCCGCAAGAAGGCCCCGCCCTCTACTACATCGACAGCGACGGCACGCGCCTCGCCGGCAACCTCTTCTGTGTCGGTTCCGGTCAGACCTTCGCCTACGGTGTGCTCGACGCACAGTACAAGTACGAACTGGAAGACGACGAGGCGCTCGAGCTGGGCAGGAGGAGTATCCTCGCTGCCACCCATCGCGACGCGTACTCCGGTGGTTTCATCAACTTGTACCATGTCAAGGAGGACGGCTGGGTCAAGCACGGCTTCAACGATACGAATCCGATTTTCTGGGAGACGAAGCTGAAGAAGGGCGAGTTCTCGAACGTTACTAGTGCGTTGGAGTAGGCGGAGGCTGTGGATTAGTGGAAGAAGCCCATGGCCCGCTGAGGGGATGAGAGATAGACGGCAGGCCATGATAGCTGCAATGTGGCAGTCTCACTCGACTCACGACTTAGACATGTCCAATGAAATAACGGCACATCACAATATTTTCCTCATGAAGCGAATTACGCATTGTGATGTTTGCATTTGCATTACCAAATCATACGCGACTAGTCACCATTATCTATGATACTATGCATGCGAACCCCCAAGAGCGAACAACTGAACAAGGAAAGAGCCGCAGTCCATGCTGGCTAACGAACGCCTACTATCCCCTCCACCACATGAGTATGAAAGAGAAAAGAAAAAGTTGCAATGTACACTATCCCAGTGCCGGATAGTTGGGTATAAGCAAAAGCTTCCTAACAAGGAAGTAGTAAACGCCGCGCAAGTCCCGTTGTCCCCATACGTTGGACATGTTCGAACGCCGTTGACCGAATTGATGCAAGACAAGACAAAACAGAAAATGATGTAGGAAAATCAAGGAAAAGGAAGGAGAACATCTCCAATGATAGTGAAGTAGTGCCAAGAAATGGTGTGGTGTGGTGTAGTTTCCTCAACGACTCCGCCTTCGTAATCCCAAATCCTCCTGTTGTAGCTGCTTGATCAGATCGAAACTCGCTTGGTCAAGGTTGGGGTCGATCATGTTGATCATGCTGCCCATGGGGACGTTCATGCCTCCATTCATGCCCACGCCGATGCCCATGCCTGTTCCCATACTCATGCCGTGCTCCAGTTTGATGCCATTGCCATTGCCGTTTTCTTGCCGTTTGCTGGGTGTGGACTTTGGTGTTTTGCTATTGCGGCCAGCGCGGGAGGGCGTTTGACTGGCTTTGCGACCAGAGGAGTTCTGGGTACGGGCTTTGTATGAGTTGTTGAGTGTGGGCGTGACAGGTGGGGGAGGGAAATCGGAGTTTGTGGTGAAGCTGTTGTAGTTGTTTGTGGCTGGGGAGGTGATGAATGGGTTGTAAGTGTGGTTGTTGTTGGTGGTTGCCGTGGGCGATGCAGCGGAGACGTGTCTGGGTGAGACGGGTGATGATGGGTTGCGGACGGCGTGGTGTTCTGATCCAGGCTTTGATGTGAAGCCGTTCGTGTGCGTTTGCGCGGTATCGTTGTGTGGTGGCGGACCAGGCGTGAGCGGCTCTATGCTAGGACCATGAACTTCGCCGTTGCGGCTAGTTGGTTCCATTCCATCCATGAGCATCGGATCGGTTGGCTGATACTCAACCGACGACATGACCGTATCGCCGTTTGGGTGGTACGAGTTCGCCACGTCATGGTTGTAGTCGCCGTTCGTATATGCTTGGAGGGCAGGATCAACTGGCACTAGATCGTCATTCTCAGGACTTTGGTCTAGCGCTTGCTGGGCGGAGTAGGCCATCTCTTGGAGGAAGGACGAACCGCCGCTGAACTGGTTCGGAAGAGAATGTCGCGCGTGCATGTCTCCATGCAGATATTCGTCGTCGTATGAAGATTCATGTCTCATCCGCTTCGCTGTTGATCCCGAGTCCTCATCGCTGACTCTTCGTTTCTTTGACGCTGAACCCCGCGGAATGGGGATCTCGTTGGCCTTGACAGGATCAACATTGCCATACTCGTCGTGTATGCATCGCCGCTTGCTCTTCCTACAGTCGGCACAAGCCTTGACTCTGCCAGACTTGAGTGCGTAAGGGTCGCCGTTCACATCAGCCATGATTGGGCCGCCATTCACTGGACCATTGGCGGCGTTTGACAAGCTATCTGCAACAGAGTGATCGCTGAGCCGGCGTTTGACAGAAATGCCATACGAGCCAGAGAGGTCGATGGTGTGCATGCCCGGCTTCGATGTATCAATGAGCTCGTCTTTGTGTTTGCATCGGATACGGCGCTTCCTACATGCATCGCATGCAACACGTTTGGGTCCGAGCTGAGATGTTTTGGGTGTGGTGATGTGCGGGTTGTTTGCCGATG